GGGCAGGGCGGAGGCCCGGTCCCGGCTCAGCGTCCAGCGGAGGGTCCAGAGGTGCTGGGCCAGGCTGAGCAGCAGGCCGGCGCACAGGAGCGCGGTGCCCGCCGCCCCCAGCGCGGACAGGCAGCTCAGCCCGCAGGGGAACATGGCGAGCCTGCGGGGCCAGGCCGCTCGGAGCGCAGGAGCGCGGGAGCTGGGGAGCGGGCCCGCAAAGTGCTCACCAGTTCTGTCCCGAAAGTCCTGTAGCTTTGGGAGCCAAGGCCGCGGGGTGTAACCCCGGACGAGGACTTCGCTCTCGAAGCAGACTGGCAGTGCAAGGCTGCAGGGGCCACGCGCCCTTAGGGGACGTGCCTTCCTCAAGACCCGCACACTCAGGACTTTTCCTCTCGGGGTGCTGGCTGCTTCGGGACCGCTCACGCTGGCATCCGTGGGCACCTCCCACCTCCTCCCGGGGCCAGTGCTCCTTTGATAGAAGCAGCCAGGGCGGGCAGAGGGGAGTAACTCACCGGTGTTGCCAACCTGGGCTTTGATCTCCAGGGCTGCAGACCCCCGCCCCACCTTCTCTCTCTCCCCAGCCTGTTAACCCTTCTCGGCCCACCCTGGACGCATTTATATAGACGCTGGCTCCCTCCCTACTGACGGACCCACATTCACAGACGTGACGCGCCCATGCATATTTAAAGCGCTCGACGCGGAGTAGTGATTGGAGGCGGTGGGCAGCCGGCTCGCCGAGGGGCTCGGGGCAGGGCGTGGCGGCCAGGCGGCGCTGCGGGCTGGGGGCCGCAATCCATGCCCGTGGGGTCCGCGGGTTCGCGCCGGAACTTACCCGCAGGAGCTCGGCTGCGGACAAACTAAGCGCACTGAGCCTACGCGCGCTCTCCGCTGTCCGCAACCTCGAGCTTCCAGGTGCCCCTTCCCCTCCCGGGGCTCCAAAGCCAAGGGCTGGGGTTTCTCCCACTTGCTCCGTTTCCCTTTCGGGGAAGCTGCGGTCTTAGGTGCCAACCTAGGCACGGCAAGCACCTACAAGGACAGCCTAGGCGGGGTCCAGGCGCTCCGATGTCCCCCACCCCTCCCCGGTCTCGGATCTCCCACTTCAGGAACCCTTCAAAAGACGGCCGCGCCATTGTTGCCCGAAGCCCACGAGGAGCAGACATCCTGGGCTCCTTTCGGGTCTCAAGGACCAAATTCATCCCCCCTCCCCCCTCAGAGGGCCCCGCCCCAGTCCACAGGTTGCTTCTCGGGCTTTCTGCGTCGTGTGGGAGGGCTCCACGTGCCCCAAGGACGCGCGCGTCCCTGTCCCTACACCACAACCGGAGCGATGCGGAGGTAAAGTGCAGGGTCCCGGTATTACTGAGAAGAGTGAGGCGTCCCCCTCCTCAAGGCCCTTCCAGCCGAGGCGCCCAGTGGTCTGCTCCGAGCCGTGCAAAGGCGGCCCCTCTCGCCAAAGCCCCAGGCCCCCGGGTGCCCTGGAGGGCCGGGTACGGCGCCCCGGGGACAGCCGCATTCCAGCCTTCAGAGTGCTTGCGAGCTTCCAGCGCTCCTCTAGTAACTTCTAACAATTACCATGTTTTCCATGTAATAGTTTTTAAAGTGTGAAAAACCTTAGGATAAGAGATGGTCAAAAGAATGTTTATTTTGTTTGTTTTAGTGACACCCCCATTTCAATAACTAGGGATAAAATAGCCCTTCTAAAGGAAGCAGTTGTTGTAAATCAGGAAGCTCTGATTAGATGCAACAGCAACTCATTTTCAAGAACTTGCTCAATCTTTTTTATATTTCATCACAAAATCAAGAAATGTACATATAATTCTTTACACTTATTTTACAGAGTCAAGTATAAGTTTTTTACAGGCATAAATCCTGAAAATGCAAAAGGAGTATTCAGCATAAATACAATTAAGAGAAAGTAAGGATCAGGTTGCTGTTACCATTTAGACCACAGTAATTTACACAAAGGAAAATGTACATTCGTTTTAGGTTTTCCAGAGTTCATTTGGTTTGGCTTGTTTCCACAGTGAGGACAGGGTAGGGAGATCTGCTATTTGAAGAAAGTAACCTGACTCCTGTGGTAACTTGTGTGTAGGAACATATCTGCACCTGAAGTGGTTAGCCCCAGTGAGTTCCTGTCCTCTCTTTTAACTTGACCCAAACCAAACCAAATAAATTCTAGAATGGGGTCAGCTACAAACAATATAGTTAGAAATACTAACCCTGCAGAACAGAAACATTGCATCTTTAGAAAATCCAAACTCCTTGTCTTCATATTCAGAATGATTACATTAAACCACCCACGGAGAACAAATAATTCACATTCTTACTAAGTCCAGATTGATTTCAGGGACCTTTAGAGATTTGCCTATTTCCCCTCAGAATCAGCAGAATTAGAAAATTTTTGTCTACTTAAGTCATATTTAGGTGGAAGTAAAAGCTAGAAGTCAGAAAACAACAGTGAAATATTCCCGTATCTGACACAATTGCATTCCAAAACCAAATACTGATGGAAAACAAAAATCATTCAAGTCTGAATAAAAAAGATAGGTAGAGGCATAAGTTTTTCTAGTGTATTTACAATCACCTTCATATACAATTTTTTACCTGACTTACATATATTTTTAAAAGTGAAAAAATTGTCACATTTTCCATATATAAAATAGTATTCAATTATTTAAAAATCCATACAAATGATATTTATTACTGTTTGTTTCAGCTCTCATCAATGTCTTTTCTATATTGTATTTTTTAATTCTGCAAACAAATTGCTGTTATCACAACCAGTGCCTGTTAGAAATCAATGTTCAGCCACGAATGTGGTGTCACTGCGTGCAAGGGATGTGAAGTCTACGTGTGTTGGGACATACCATTCACCAAACTTCTCAGCTGTTTCATGACTGTCTCTATCAACTTCTGTTTGTCTCGATCGTTCTTCCTGAACTGAGCAAATATGTTGTTTTTTTTGCTAGTATCCTTCATCCTAGGAATATATGTGAATAAAGAAGCTTAGTAAAAGAAAATTATAAGCTATGCTGTCACAAGTAAAATATCTTGGTGTACTCTGAATTATCTAACACTAATCCTATGCTTAAAAAAATGTATTTCGAAGAAAATAAGTAGAATAAAATTATCAAAATAGGAACCATACAAAAAATTAGCAGCTTATTTTACATTCTACATAAAGTGGTGTTTTTGTATTAGTATGTAAGTCTAAAGTATATTCAGTTTTCTAATATTATACTACTTTCTAATATCATTCCATAAAGTATGCCAAAATACATACCATCTATTAACTGCAAATTACATTCATAGCAAGGCAAGGTGAAAGAAAAAATAACATTAGAAAATTTAAAGCAGCAAATTTTTTGCCTCAGTGGTGTTTCATGGTATTGTAAGATAAATTTACATGTATTTTAAACAGTTCCTTTTCCTTTCAAGTAAAATACACCAGAAACATTTTGAAATGTGGGAAAATAATATACACTTTTAATTCAACAACTGAAAATTTCAATAGATATTTAAAATGAAATATGACTGAGTAAAATAAAATCTGCCACATAATTTGATGGAAAACTAACACCTAAATTGTATTATTTTTAATTGTACAAGATGCACCAGGAGTGCTACCTGTTACTTTGGTTTTTACTGTATTATTTTTTAAATTACATGCTTCTCTACCTGCAAAGAACCCAAGTCCATGAAAGTGGGAGTTTGATAGCACTCACTGGTGGCAAACATTCCAATTGCGAGCCACATTTTACAAAATGACTTCTTTCCTATGTTACGGTATGAAAAAATATAGTTCCAGTTCTCACTTGTCTCAAGTAAACATATTTCTAAGGCCAATTAAGCCTGCTATTGAGGCTACAATAGGAAAAATGTTTTGTCCATATCAATATAAACAGCAATTTCATATAAAACTACACCAACACTGAAGGGCAAGAAAGAGGCTTGTTTCCGTCACTAAAATGGACTGAGCTTTTAAGCTTCCTTTAGAGGTTTCTCTTTTGATGACAATCTCTAGTTCTTCAATTATCACTGAATTACAATACGCTAAAATGTTATGTATAAAAGTTTTCAGAATATACTCACTTTTCCAAAAGAGTAAGGGCTGTTTTTGGATTCACCCGGAGGTACTTGGAAGCTGGCTGTCCATAATCAGCTAGATAAGTAGACCAATCGCAAGCCATAAAGAGGTCAAGGAGCTGAGGAAGATGGGGAAATGCTAAGTTAAACCAACTTCTGACTCTTTACCTAAAGCTAATACTTAAGTATGTGCCATTCTTGATCCATTTTAATATGACCTGCTTCTTAGATAAAACAAAATAAGAAAATTCATTTTTAAAACTTCATTAACTATCCTTTATACCAAAATAGTATTTATTATCATTTTACTTTTGATATTGTCAGGGGTTGCTTTTCTAATAAAATACTTGATTGCATATGCAAATAATTATAAAATGAAAAGAGTTAATATAGTTAACTACATTAGGTATAGAGATTTAAACTTTAGACACTATTCAGTTCATACTCAAATTTAATTATTAAGGGTTGGTGCTACTAATTGAAGAATTTTAAGGAACTTAAATTGAACCTTTTCTCTTAGAGGTTAAGTATGTTTACCTTTCTAAGAAACCATTTGCATCTAGACTTTCCCAAAGTAATTTAAACCAAAAGCTCAGATAATCTCAATTAAGTGCATTAAACAACCTCTGCTGGATTCTCCCTGGTGATAGATCCTCAGTAGTATTATGAAAGGAGGGCTTCAGGACTCAGCATGTTAACTCTAGGCAATCATTTTGTATAAACAAACAACAACAAAAAAGAAACCCTCTTGTTTTCCATAATGATTTAAAATTGACTATTTGCTTTATACTCTCCAGTTAGAACTGTTGTCAAATATGGAAGTAATCTTTTAAAAGCAATGCCGTGCCTAAACCAAAGCACCAAACTCCTTATCCAACTTTAAAACCCTAATCCCCTTTAAGCCATTTAAAACCAACTTCCTATCCCCATTTGAATTGTTTCAGAAAGCTAAATGCTTTACTTACTACCTCCCTTTAGTTTTTATATTATTCCTTCTTTTTTGTTTTAACTCACTTTATAAGTAAGAAGTACACTATTTTTGGTTTCAAATGAATGAGGTATTTGCATTTATTCATATGATATGCAAGCCAAACCCTAATTGTGAGAGGGATACTACTTCTGGGGTGGTTCAAACCTAAAGAAAGGTTACAAGAAACTAGCTCTTCCTTAGGAAGGTAGTGGACTTGTCTGAATCTCTTCCCATCCAACAAAGAGCTACTAACAGATAATTTCTTGGAAAAGGAGGAAAGTTCTATCATGAAAATA